AATGCTAATAGTTCAGATGGTTGGTTTTGATGTTATACGTTGCTTTTGTTCTGGTCTCCAGTATATCAACTGCAACAGAGATGTTTCCTCCAATCATCTTTAGTGCACGGTTTAGAAGCAAGTCCTCCTATTTGTGTCAAACGGAAACATTCATGGGTTCTTAACTCCCCTGTTAGTGTAAATGCAGCAACAGCAAAGAAGTTTGACAACACAGCAAGCACCCAGGCAAAATGATACAATGCAGTATGTGATATGTGTCTCGAAGGTTTTGAGTTACTAAAGTTCATGTTAAAAATAAACATGAATTAAAATGGATTATTCTATTAAGCAAACATCCCCTCTAATCATACAAAGATAAGATATCCAATTCACAAACAATTAAGCCATAAAAAATCATCACACATCCACCACCTTTGATTGCCTAAATTTGGGTTTTCGCAAAGTTATGGACTCTTAAGGGTAACGTTCATGGGTAGTCTGTTTCATAACTCTAGAGAGCACAGTAAGCAGCCACCAGCCAGACACAGTGCGGTAGGCGAATATGATTCTCAATTCACAATTTCTCACCACCGGAAAGAACAGACCATAATAAGCGTAGCGTTCATGGGTGGTCTGTTTAATAGCACTACTACACAATTTGTTAAAAAAGAAAGAAAGGTATTTAGCATCATGACGGAACAACTTTTACAGGCCAACAACGACAACATGCTGCAACCACCAGAACTGGTATCACAACTCATAGGGAAAATCAAAGATTTACTCTCAAATTAAGTAGTTACAACATCGAGCAATCGTCAAGCACATACACCATCACAAAAGTCACGGAACCTGATTCGCAAAGCATTCAAACATTTGAGGACATTTCTGCAAAGGTACAACTTATATGTCTTTTTTCCAAGACATTTCCACCAACATGCTCATAAATTTGCAATGCATAAAATAAACGGGCCAAAACTTGAAATTCAGCCTGTTTGACCGACCCATGCCAAATCCTAATTATTCTTTAATTTTAAACTTTCTATTTGAAAATAAAAAATAGTGAAAGAAAAGAGATGACTGCAATTCGCCATTTGCACATCACTTATTCGGGAATAAAACCATAGAAATTCAAAAGGAACTGAAAATGTTTAGGATCGTTTTAATGTTTAAAATAACCAAATAGATCTTTCTGTTTAGTTTTTTACTAACAAATATCAAACGATTCCCTATAAAATACACTATAATTTGATCATTATGATATCAAATAATTATATAATATATATTTGAAATGATAAAAATTGGACTAATTGGGTTGGTCAAGGTTGAACCATTGAATAACTTTAAAATACATTATATTTTAGCCACTAAGATATAAAATAATAGCAAAATTTATATTATGCTAGAGAAAATAACTTGTTTTAGAATGGCAAACCAATGATGTTCATTTGTTTTACTTGATGGACAAATCCCGTGTAGGTCAGACCCATTCAACTTTTTGTTTTATGGTTAGCGGTTAACCATTAGATACCATTCATTAGTTTATTGTTATATTTTTTATTTTTAACAATAAAAAGGATTATTTTTTTTTTCCTTTTCATATATATTTTATCACCACGGAGAAATCAAAGGGCTTAAAGAAAAAAATTGACACTCTTGGTCCCGTTTAAATCCGCATGTGTACGGTAAGTTGGCCCGTTCCACAGAGGAAAGAGAAAAAAATTGACATTCCCTATTATCCTTTCCTACAAACGCTACTGGAGCAGGGAATTTGAAATAGGGGAAGAGTTTTTTCCTCTCGGCTATTATATGTTTTTAATTTAAAAAGATACAACAAATCTACTTAGTGTGATTGGTTATGATCCTTGCTTTTCTATAAAATGGTCATGGTTTGACTCCCAGTACGTGTCTTTTTTATTTTTAACAATAAAAAGGAGTATTATTTTTGCCTTTTCATATATATTTTATCACCACGAAGAAATAAAAGAGCTTAAAGAAAAAAATTGACACTCTTGGACCCGTTTAAATCCGCATGTGTACGGTAAGTTGGCCCGTTCCACAGAGGAAAGAGAAAAAAATTGACACTCCCTATTCTACCCTTCCTACAAACGCTCCTGGAGCAGGGAATTTGAAATAGGGGAAAAGTTTTTTCCTCCCGGCTATTATATGTTTTTAATTTAAAAAGATACAACAAATCTACTTAGTATGATTGGTTATGATCTTTGCTTTCCTATAAAATGGTCATGGTTCGAATCCCAGTATGTGTCTTTTTAATGAACAAAAAAAAGTTATTGTGAAGACCAAAATGTCCTTCCTACTTTCACTCTCGTTGCAGGAAATTTGAAATGGGGAAGCTGTTTTCCCCTTCGGCGTATTATATGTATAGTAGAAATATTGGTCCAAAACGACGTCGTTTTGCGGTATCGGGGGACGACGGGGCGGATATCATGAGATCCATCATCACCCGTTGGCCGCTACTATCGGATTTCGGAAATACCCGGATCCGCGCTTTACCCACAACGGACGGGTTTTTTTTACCTCCATCTGGGCGGGTTTCAGATGGATACCGGCGGGCCGGGTAGTGTTGCCATCCCTACCAAAGAATGAGCGACAACATTTGCTTTCCTCATAACAAAACCTCATAGAACCTTGACGACTGAAATATGAAAATTTACTTCGGCCAGTTGCTTGATGAGCCGACACGAGACAAACAATTTTGTCTAATATCCTCCTCTTCCTCAATTACGAAGTTTCAGGATCAAGATTTAGCAATTTGATTAAACAATGGCGAGGCTCCAAGATCGTCTATTTGCCTCGCATAAACCCATGAAAATATTTTGTCACGGGACAGGGGTAAATTTCGAAAGGAAAAAATCGCCTATATATTTATATTGGTGATGAAAAAGAACACTTATATGTGGAATGAGAGTATTTTGTCACTAGAGGACAATTCATAATTATTTGTTTATAAATTGAAATAAATCAATTTATTATACTACAAACGAAATTTCAATTACAAAAAAAATCTAATTAGATTTCTTTTCTCTATGCCTATACGATTTTTTTCTCAACAATCCTGAAATTGTCTAGTGAAAACTGTAAATATTCCACTAATTTTTATTCTACCAATTGCCATTGCGAGAGTAGAAGAACATTTTCAGATGTGAGTTATATTAAGAACAAGTTTTCAAGTCACTAGTTTGCTAATGATTGCTTAGTAGGATACATTCAAAGAGGTTTTTTTAAGAGTGCAGACAACCGTAATGCATTTTGTGTCTAATGCATATTATTCAACACTTTTTTTATAGCTAGCTAGGTTTGAAACATTTTATTAACTGGAAAAGGAAAGTAGAAAAATACATACGAGGACACAAACTGCTTACAAAGTGTGAGAATCATAGGTACCTCCTATAGTAACTTGGGTATAATTTTAAGTTAGCTAACTTGTATAGATTTAAACTGTTAAAATCGATCAAACTTCTTTTAAACCATTGAATTAGTAAATAATCAATGGCAACAAGGGTTGCCAGTCAACACCTTCTCAATTTACATTTCTTCTTTTTTTTTTCTTTCCTTTTGTCACATTTAGTTGATTTCCTTATTTTATCCTTTTCTTTTTTAATTCTTATGGCTCTGATACCAGACAACATAATTCTTCGGATCGAGACGAATACTGAGGCGATCAGAATCGCCGGTCGTTGACTCCAATACCATGTTAGACATAACGAAAGATCAAACTTCTTTTAAACCATTGAATTAGTAAATAATCAATGGCAACAAGGGTTGCCAGTCAACACCTTCTCAATTTACATTTCTTCTTTTTTTTTTCTTTCCTTTTGTCACATTTAGTTGATTTCCTTATTTTATCCTTTTCTTTTTTAATTCTTATGGCTCTGATACCAGACAACATAATTCTTCGGATCGAGACGAATACTGAGGCGATCAGAATCGCCGGTCGTTGACTCCGATACCATGTTAGACATAACGAAAGAACTGAATAACGAAGAAGACAAACAAATTTACATGGTATCCCTGAGTGTTCAGGACTAATCCACGGGAGAGCCTCAAGACTATCCGAGCTATTGATCATATTACTTATTTAACTCATCACCTTACAAGTATTATGGCCATACTCGGCACTCTTAGGGAGCAACAGAAACCCTAGCCCTCTGCACATGTACGTCCCTTGCATGGCCCATATAACGGACATGGGCTTAAACAAACCTCCCCTCGTCGCCCATAGTCCGCATGTTTTGGTTCGAATAGTTCGGTTAAACGTAACCCAAACCAAACTGGGGTTTTCGATTAGGAACACACCAAATATGTCAATCAACCACTCGCTTCTTAACGTTGGATTGATGAACCCAATTTACAAGTGTCAGAACATCCTAACAGAAATGGTCATCAACATCCTAACCAAGCTTGATTTAATCACAACAAAATCACAAATGAAATCAGAACGTCGATATTAATTTAAGACCTGAATTTTGATGCAAAATTCAAAACTGCAAAACTTACACAATCTCGTGTTTTACCACCTCTGATACGGATCATAACCCCTAATACGATCATATATCACATATGATAACATTCATACAAGAAATTGTATGCCACAAATTAAATTTCTATATTTTGCAGTTCTGGCTTTTTTACTCTATCATTTCTCTTATATCAATAATTCAAATCCGATCCTCCTCCACTTATGTCACCTCATATTCACTCCTCCCATAACTTTAAGCCATTAACGTCCAAAATCAATGTAAAAGGTGCAAGAGTTGGATCTCCAACAAACTATGTAGAGAAACAAAAAGGTACGTAAAAGGTGTAGAAAGGGGAATAAAAGGTGGCCAGATAGACCCTTGGATTGGTTGTTTATATGACTACGTCAGTAGAATACAAGGAATACGACAACAACGTCTATACGAGACTGCCGCAGAATAAGAATAATATCGTCGCAACTTCACATGTACATCAGCCCTTTTCTGCTCTGTATAAAAGCCGAAACCCAACACATAATCTCAGTACCACACACAGAAGAAAAAAAAACCCATCAAACTTATACATTACCTAAAGATGGAGTACTACAATAACTACGCATCAGCTGCTCGTAATTTAGTTGTTGCGGTAGCGATGATTGTGGTGGTGGTGGTAGGGTATGGTGGCATCGGCGGCGTCGAAGCGGATTCCGGTTGCGGCCATAATGCAACCGACCCGGCAATGCCGCCTTGTCGTAACCACTATGCCCTTTGCATAGACGAAGTTATCTCGGGATTGCGCGACACGACTCCGACGAAGGAGGGATTCTTCGACTCCAAGTCGGTCCCTGGAGGTGGCTTCCGCGGGGCCGTTACAGGCTCCGCCAGTTGTGTCCCGGGGACCAGCGTCGACAACTGCAAGTACTGTCTTTCTACTGCCAAAAAATTGCTGGACGAGTGCAGGTCGGTCACTTCTGGCTCGTTCAGCAACGATGTTTGCACCATGTGGTACGGCCAGATCATGTGAAAAACCCCTGATGAGAGTGATCTTTTAGCATTGCTGTATGTATCCCGGGTTGGTTGCCGGTTGCTTTCGAGTATTTCTCCTACTGTACGAGTGTGTCTTTGTGATTGAAGTTGATTACAAGTGTCGCCGGAGTGGACGAGCTAAGTTTTATTTGCTTTTGAAGTGTGGTTTACGTCTTGGGTCGTTAGTGTTAGTGCATGCATGCTTGTTCTTTCTTCTTGTGTTTTAATTGAGTACTAGTGAATTTGTTGTGTAACTTAAGAAGTAGAAGGAGGAGACGGAGGAACGAGCTGTAGAGTTGGAGGGGAAAACTCAAAGAGAGCAGTCTGCTTCTCTGTTTAAACACAACGAAAATTCAAGTACAGTAAAAAATGGAAAGGGAAGTTAAAATTGTAATTTAAAATAGTTATTGTGCCTAACACGTGACACTAAACAATCGATCATTGACTAACGGCTAGCAGGTAACGGAAACAATGGAAACGACGTCAGGTCATTCTTCTGCAATCTTCATCTTCCCTTTGCCTTCTTTGTCCAGCTCTGCTTCTTCTCCATGGTATACTTCCATATGCTCTAATACTCCCCCGCAAGTTGGCGAGTGCATATCCAAAACTCCCAACTTGCCAAGCAAGAACTTCAATCTGTATCTCGTCATTCCTTTGGTGAAGAGATCAGTTAGTTGATCATCTGTTCTGACATGTTCTAGCTTGATCAACCCAGATTTTAGCCTCTCTCTAGTAATGTGGCAATCAATTTCAATGTGTGTCGTTCTTTCACGAAACACATGATTTTCAGCTATATGAATAGTTGATTTGTTATCACAATAGAGCTGAATAGGTAAGGGAATCTTCACACCCATTTCTGCAAGCAAACCTCTAAGCCTCTGCAACTCACAAACCAAATGTGCCAAAGCCTTGTACTCAACTCAAGAGGATGATCTAGAAATAGTAGTTTGTTTCTTAGATTTCAGGTTATCAAACTATCTCCAGACAATGTATAATAACCTGTAATCATTGGCGGATCCGGGGGTGGCCACCCCGGGCACCGGCCTAGCCCTCCTCTGGATCCGTAGTTAGTATAGTTCTTATGAATTTTTTGATTTTAGACATTTGGGTCATTGTTATTTTATAATAAGATTGGGTATAACTAAAAAATGATTCAGATAAACATATTCAAATCACTACTCTAAATTTAGCCTAGAAATTAGATGCCCAAAGATGATTCGTCTAAAAAACAATGAAACCTAAATTCTAAAGTTTAAAGCATAAAATACTAAAAGAAATATGAAGTTTGTACCCTTGAAAATTTACTAGAGCATCTGGTGGATATAGGGATGGACACACAATCCAAATTGATTAGTCGATTCATTTGTCTAGTGTTGATGCTGCTCGTTTCAACAGCTAATACCAAGAGAACCTTTTCAACAATGAAACATGTGAAAAATGATTTGCGCAACAAAATGAGCGATGAATTTCTTGCTGATTGCTCATGTATTTTATTTGAAACAGTGTATACTATTGGTATAGACGTGGACTCCATTATTGATCCATTGCTAAATTAAAATATCGGCGTGTACTATCTACATTGTAAAAAAAAAATTATAATCATTATATTTTTTTATAGTTCTAATTTTCTAATAAAATGTTGCCCAGTGCACTTCTGTGTTCTGGATCTTCCGTTGCCTGTAGTGGACCTTGTATCAGGGCAACTTGCCCAATCAGGATCTGAAAAACCACTCAACTACAATTCTTAATCAGCTTTGAAATTAGTCCTTGTCCTGGAGCATGTTTCAAATACCTCAAGATCCTACAAGCAGCCTGTAGATGCTCACTAAATGGATATTTCTGAAACTGACATAATTGCTGAATGGCAAAGATAAACTTTGGTCTGGTAACAGTCGGGTAATGTAATCTGCTAACTAACCTTTTGTAAATCTCTGGATTAGGAAGAGGCTCCCCTTCTTAGCAGTTAACTTCAGTTTGTAATCAATTGGTGCTAGGCAATCTTTTGCCTCCAAATATCTAGTGTCTTCCAGTAGTTCCATGCAATATTTCCTCTAATTCACATGAATCCCTTTACATCTCTATATACTTCCAGTCCAAGGAAAAACTTCAGATCACCAAGATCCTTCACTTTGAATTCCCTTTCCAAGAACAATTTTAGTTGTTCTATGTCTCTCAAAGAGCTTCCTGCAATCAATATATCATTACACACACCAACACAACAAGGATCCTTCCCTGAATCCTTTTAACAAACATTGAATAGTCTGAAGCAGCTTGAGCAAAACCATTTTTCAACAATGGACATGCTAGCTTGACAAACCATTGCCTGCTAGCTTGTTTCAGTCCATAAAGGAACTTTTTTAGTTTCAGGACCATCTTCTTGTCAGGTAGTTCCATGGCCATGCTTAGTGGTGATTTCATGTAGACTTCTTCATTCAACTCTCCATGAAGGAAGGCATTTGATACATCCATCTGATGTATGAGCCAGTTATTAGCAGCAACCACTGCCAGTAACACTTTCACTTAATTAATTGGCAAAATACACTTGTATAGTCATAACTTTCACATTTTTGCCAATAATAGCCACTTTTGAAAACATACCATATATAGCCAATTTCGTCCAATTCTTTAACGGTAACTAACATGCTAACTGGACTGATGTTTATTGCTGATGTGGCAATTTTTTTGTCAACAATCATGCCTTGTGGAAATGATTATTTTATTATTATAATTAAATTAGAAAAACAAAAACAAATCTTGACCCTGTGCCCCCCTCTCTCTTCTCTCGCCTTTTCCCCATCCTTCTTCATCTCTGCCGCATTGTTTACCTCACCTCACTCCCACTGAAGAAATCGGCAGCCACTAATTAGAAGAATCAATTGGGAGAAGGGGAACTGGAAGGTCGTTGAAGATGGAGGAAGAGATTAGTGGTAGAGGTGGTGTTGCGAGCGTCAAGGTTGAAGCTCTTGCCAATTGGGGAACCGGCGACCGGAGAGTTGACACTCTCAAGAATGATGGCCTAGGGGCCGTTCGCGGCCGGCAGCTGTGGAGAGGTGAAGGAGGGTTTTCGATCAAGCGGTCCAAGAGGGGCCCCCTGAAAATTGGGGGAATTTCATCGATAGATGAGGCGGCGAGAAAAGTAGTCGCGATGTTGGAGTCGACGGGAGGATCTAGATCCGGACGCGAGAGAAAGTTTAGATCGGGCGTTCCAGGAGGGGACGGCGAGGGCGGTGTTTGGTGCGAGCTTCCACCGCATTTCTTGAAGGAGACTCATGGCGAGAATGAGCTTTTGACTTTCTAATTACGCCAAGTTATTGAAGGAGCCTTATTAGGGCTCTAGTGGCGGCGACTCATACTACTTCTGGTATAGATTCGGCTCCCCTCTCGGGATTGTTCTGGAATTAGGATGGTTTCATTTGGGGGTTTCTATTGATTGGATTGGGGGTTTTATTGTTGGGGAGAGGAAGATGGTTGCAGAATCATATTAAGGGTTCTTTGGATTGGATTAGGGTTTTTTTTTTGTTGGGGGTTATGTGGCGGGGGGAAGGCTGGTATGTTTGAAGAGGAAACGACAGAGGGAGGAGGAATAGAGGGTCTCCAACCAACGGTGAAGATCTGTGTGGCCGTGAACCGATCTGCCTCTTGCATCTCCTTCCTTGGCGATAGCTTTCTTGCCTTCTTCAATCCCGGTAAGGCTATTCAATATCACCATAACCTTTTTGGCCATTCTGGAACCTTGCTCGACCACCATCATTATCACCGGTGTCGTCCCAATTGAAGAAGAAGAATAACAAAGGGATAAGGACGAAAGGAGAGTACGAGTAGAAGGTGGGATGAGAGAGACAGAGAAGGAGAATCTTCTGACTCTACAAAAAAAAATTAATTTAAAATATGAGGTGGCGATTACGTGACATGTGAGTCTAGGTGTACATGACGTGTCGTCCAGGTGGCAGCCACATAAGCGTACTGTTCACTTAAACTAACGCAATTAGAGACGGTGTTAAAGTATTTGACGAAAATGGCTATATTTGTCATACAAGTTCAAAAAATGTGGCTATAAGTTGTATTTCTCCAAAAGTGGCTATTATTGTCACAAACGCGAAAGTTTTGGCTACACAAGTGTATTTTGCCTAATTAATTTTAGCTACTGGTGAAAAAGTGCCTAAGAAATCTATCCCATAGATCTGAGTAAATCCCTTAGCTACTAGTCGGGCCTTGAACTTTTCTATGGTGCCATCAGCTCTAAGCTATACCTTGTATACCCATTTGCACCCATTAGCCTTTTTCCCTGGTGGCAGGTTAGCTAGTTCCCAAGTCTGATTTGCTTCAAGAGCATCAGATTTATCCTTCATTGCGTCTCTCCAACACAGTTCCTTGCAATCCTCTTCATAAGACCTTGGTTCAGTGACCGCCATGGCACTCATCACATAAGCTTTATGTTCAGTTAGTAGTTTGTCAAAAGTTACATATTTGTCCATAGAGTACCTATGAACTGCTCCCACTTTGTAATCCATATGCCAAACTAGAACAGTTATGAGTCTATCTAACTTCCGTAACTCAAGACCAATACCTTATCCATCTTCAAAATCAAGTAGTGAAACTAACTCATCATCCTCCCACTATGGGAAAAGTGGCATTTGGCAACACTTGAAATGTGTTGCAAAAGGTGCCGAAAGTGTTGCGTATGCAATATGCAACACTTTTACTAGTGTCCTCTATAGGTGGTGTTGTATAAAGTAATAGGTAACACTTTTGGCACGTTTCGCAACAACAAAAATGTGTCGCATAAGTATACTCTATATGCAACACAATTTTACATATGCAACACTATTTTAGGCAACACTTCAAAAAGTTTACGTAACACCTTTTGAAATGTATACCTAACATGTATAAGCTTTATTGTGACGGGTTAATTCTGTCACATAAGATGTGCTCAATTGTGACAACCTTCCAAGTGTAACAAATACTTTGCCTTTGTGACGAGTTTGTATAGTCACCAATCATTTTCCCTCGTAACAATTTTAGTTGTCACAAATGATGCGCCTTTTCAGATTCACATTTATCACAAAAAGAGGTTTTTGTGTCAAGGATATTGTCGCAAAAGGCGGATTTTGTGACATAGTTTATGTTACCGCTGTGACAACATTAGTGACAAGAAATAAAATTTGTCACGAAAGCAAACTTTTATGATAAATGGTTTTTATCACTTCTAATAGCATTTGTGACGTTGGTGTGTTGTAAGAGAAGTATACATTAGTGACGATTTGATACATGATCAAAACCATTTTATGTAAGACATATTGTCGTCACAAATATAATCAATAGTGAGAACTTTAGCCATCACAATTTTGTATAGTTAGTGAAAACCGTGTTGTCACGATTATATTTTTCGGTAACAAAATTAAACTCGAAATAATATTGTAGTGACGTACTTTTTGTGACGCAAATGACAATTTTTGTGACGATTGTACATTGTAGCAAATAGTATACATTAGTGTCAATTTGATATGTCACCAAAAATTATTTATGTGGCAACTATTGTCATCAGAAAATACAACGATGGTGATGATTTGACTCGACATAAATACATTTTTTTATATCAAAGTTGTCTCGTATATCACATTTAGTGACAATAACTATGACTTGTTTTTCTCATAATTGTAATGATTTTGTGACAAATTGCTAGTCACAAATACCAAATTGCAACAAGATTTTGTTAATAATAAAAATAATTCATTATAAAAAGGGAATAGATTTCGTTTAACTCAATCCATATGTAAGAAATATCTTTAAATCCAATCTGAACAATGATATAAACTAAATATAGTAGAAAAATGTACTAATAGGCTACTGTTTATGTTGAAAAGAAAATTGTCTCTCATGTCGATTGCATTTCTCTCATCTTTTCTTCATGGTTTTTTCTGCTTGTAGACGAGCTATTGTCTCCTCAAACTTCTTCTTTTCTTCGGCTAACTTAGCATCATACTGTTGTTGCACCTCTGCTTTGATCTCTGCCCTCAACAGAGACTAATCTTTCCCTCTTCTTCTGGACCTCCTACTACTCTGAGTGAGAGCCTTTCCCGAGGCAAGACAAACCATCTCTTTATACGTCAACTTAGATCCAGCTTCAACCAACTCTTTTATTTTACCCTGTAAAATGAAGAATGTATTAGTAGTTTCAAAATAAATTAGCACATACTAATAGAGACATCAAATATAATTTGAACTGATAAAATTTGATAAGATGGTAAAAGGAATTTATATAAATGGTTGACTTACGTATATTATTTTTGACCTAGGATCAGGCCATGATATTTCTCCTTTGTTTTGCCTCGTATGTTGAGCAAAATATACCTCATCATGAGACTTTATTTTTCCAGTTAACGGATCTCTCTGAAATTTGAATTTGATTAATTAAATTTACAAGCTGAGAATACAGTTTAAATATGCGAAATGGGAAAAGATAATAATTAGATTATTATTTATGAACTGAAGTTATAAAACTCATTACCGTATTTTCCGCCACTTCACCATATGTTCTTGAGCCACAAGTATTTTTCCCTTCCACCTTTCATCTGTTTTGCTTATTCCTCTTACTCATTTTCTATATATATTTTCCATATGTCAATAATAATCAAAGATTAAAATAAGTGTGCAGCATCTCATATAAAAAGGATACTTACTTTGAAGTCATCAGAAGCCCAATATTGAACAGCTTGCACCCAATCCTCAGTATCAACACCTTCAGGAACATAACCATCCCTTTGATTATCGGGAAGACCAAGGAAGTTTTTACGCTCGCGGTATTGCCAAGATGAATGAGCTGAGTTCATTTTTATCCACATAAGATCTCTAAGATCTTGTTTATCACTGCTAGTGAATTTCTCCTGCATACAATAACCGAACAATTAATATACTGCAGGGAGTTTTTGAACATACATATTAAAAAACTTAAAAGATAAATTTACCTCCACTAATTCAAATAATTTTTCAAATTCAGCTTCGCCCATCTTATTCCATGTCTCAATGTTCAACTTCGCATTGCTTCTTACTATTAGTCCACAAAAATTTACAAATTTTCGTGCGTTCTTACCAATAACCTCTTTACCATCACTAGAAACATGCACCTCAATTTTATTTCCCTTCTTTGTTGCCAGCTCAACAGAGTTGCAAGTTGTCTTGCCTCTCTTCCTCTTCACTATAGTAAAAAAATGCAAAGATTATTATTTAGTTAATCATAAAACAATTTGAACACATTGTGTGTACCTTCAGGTTCTTGAGATTCAAACTCTGATTCCGGTACAAAGGTGTGCCCAGCACGCAGTTCTTCTAAATAATTCTGAGTTTCATCAGAATCATATAATTCATCTGTCCTTTGGGATCGTGTCTCATCACCATCAGAACTCATTGATTTGGCTGCCTGTTCTTTTGTTTCCCTAGCTCTTTTGGTAGAATACACAATAAGACCAGAACTCATGATTCCTATCAAAATAAGAGGGGCTACTTTAATTGGGTAATGCAATTATAATACTTTTGTTAGCTAGTACGATGGCTATTTCAATACATGGCATAAAAGGCTAATTTAATTGTTTATGCTTTATCATTCTCTTTAGTGGTGAACTCCAATTTGTTTATACACGTAAAAGATACAAGTACAGAGGAAGCAAATCCTGACAAGGCTCCAAAATAGAACCCAAAACAGAGGAAAAGTAAATAAGGCAATCAAGATCACAACAAAACATCACAAAGAGTAAATAATTGGCCGAACAATAGCTCTTGAAGTAAGCAGAAACACAGGGCTAAAAAGAACAGGACTACAAAGAAGAAACACATGTAATATTCTTGGTTTACTTGAGGTAATAAGAGAGCACGAGGAACACATAGAACGCTGAAAGACAACCAAGTTTTGGGAAGAAGAGTACTACAACACCTAACATGATGACAAATATAGCAAAATACTTAATAAATTGGGCAGAGCACCGTACTGGAGATTGACGGCAACAAGGATAGAGTCCAGGAATATGAGAAGAGTAGGCAGTCGACGATGGAACAGGGGAAGTAATTCGGCAGGGGATGAAAGGTTTTTCTTCAATGGGAGAGATTTTGATATTAATAATTGTGATTGCTTTAGGATAGAGATTTATTTACAACTGGAAGAGTCGGGATCTTTTTTATGGTTTGGAAGATTTCCCAAGAGTTTTTACTCGGGAGAGATTTCATTTATCATCATTAAGTGAAATAGCATTTATCATTTAAGAGATGAATGAATAAAATAATGATCCTTGCCTACAATTGTTTTCCGGAAAAAATACTGTCCATAATTTTTCCTTTATGGCTTATGTTAATACGCATTTCACTAGGAGAAATAAAATACTTGGAATTGAGACACTCCTATTTAATGATCAAGTGTTACATTGTCTTTCAATTAATAAATTTTGGGTGTTCAGCCCAAGCTTTCGTTCTAATCTTCTTTAACATACTTAATAGAGTTGTTAATTGAACTAAATATATGATATGACATGCATTATTATGGATGATGTTCGAATTGAGAGGATAGTAATACCATAGTTATTGACGTAGTTCGGTATGCAATTTTTGTTATAAGTCGAGTGAAACCTGTACTATCACTTGTATACATAGATTTAATTAGGGCTGCAAATGAGCCGAGTCGAGTTTTACCCCAGGTTGAGCTCAGTTCGTTTATTAACGAGCCGAGTCAAGCTCGAGCTCGAGCTAGCTTGTTTACTAAAATTTTGACTTTTATTTGGTACTTTATTTTGTATATCAAGATACATATGATTTATTTTGTTAGCTAATCTCATATTATAATTTGTTGGTATCATATGGTGAGATATATAATTTAACAACCATATGAATTAAAATCATAAGATATAGATTGATTCATCCATAAGTCGGTAATCGAGTTGGCTATCTAGCCACATGTTGAGACATATCATAAACTCTAAACGAGCCAGCTCACGAGTTTAGCTCAACAAGCCACCGAGTCGAGCTAGCTCGCGAGCTTCACGAGCTTAACAAAGCTTAGCTCATGTTCGACTCGTTAATAAACGAATCGAGTTTCGAACGAGCTTTCCTCGAGTCGAACGCCGAGCCGCTCGCGAGTAGTTCGGCACATTTGCAGCCCTAGATTCAATGCATTCCTACATGCATATCATAATTTTTTAAATTAACTATACAACTATTGATGTAGTTTGCTAACAATACATGTGTTCTCACAGTAATATATATGGTAATGACTGGTGTACGTCAGACGTATACTATACGTCAGGTGATCTAGCCATTAGATGTACATAGATGAGCTCCGGCCGATCTCAACGGTCAATTTATGTTTTTCATTAAATCAAACTTCGGGTTGGGGTTTATAAAATCGGTGCTTGGGGTTTATCCATTAAAGGTTAGGGTATAGTATCATACCCCAAACTTGATTTAATTCATTGTCTAGATAGAGATATCTCACTAGTAGTACCTGACGTATAGTATACGCCTGAAGTATGCCAGTCGAACGTTGTACGCCTGTGTTCACACTTGATTTTTACCTCTGTTTTCATAACCGGACCGGAGGCTGAACCGGAAAAATTAGTGGTTTAAGGGTTCATCGGTTAACCGTTACAAAACCGTTGGTAAACCGTTGATAGAACCGTTAATGATATATAACATATAAGACTTGTATATTACAATAATTTAAGAATGAAATTATCATTGACCATAAACAAGTTCAAATTCATATCATCACGAAAATATCTAATAAATCATTCCAACCATCTCACAAAAGAAACCACATTTTTTAATTCAAATTAAAAATTACGGTTCTAGTTGGTAGTAGACAATGTAAAATCGAAAATAAGGTTGAGGAAGCATATATAAAATTAATAATTATGATTTGATGTTCTTAGTTTATGTTAAAATATTTTTTTGTTAAAATAGTGAACCAATGGACCAGTTAAACCGTGTCGGTTCATCAGATTTTATGTTGAATCGTGAAAAACCATTTTGTCCATCTATAACCGTTCAAACAATGAACCGGACCACAATCGTAACTAGTTTGACAGTTCTACTGGCCCGACCGTTGATCCGGTTTGGTTCTTATAACAAGGATTTTTACACTGCAATATATTTCGTGAATAAGAACCATCGGTTTTTATTTTTTAGATTAAATGAATCTTGTGGCTTGGGTTAGAGAATTAGGGACTGAGGTTAACCCATTAGAGGTTAGGGTATAGTATCATGCCCTAAACTCCGATTAATTCGTGCTCTAAATAGTAAAACTCGAAGACCGTACAATGTACGCCTAACTTATGCTAGCCTCAACCCCAAATTGTAAACCCTAACCCTAACCCTAACCCTAAATCTCTAAACTCTAAACCCCAAATTAATGTTTTTCCTAACTAGGATAAGCTTGAAAAATATTATTGCGGGAAATTAGATTACATAATGGGCCACATACCAATCCAAAGATTATTTTTTCCTAAAGTGCTTCATGCTTAGGCTGGAAGATCGATTCAGAATATTGATAAGCTATTTTTCTGTTTTGGATTAGAAAGAATATATAAATGCAGTATATAAATATATTTCAAAATAATTATCTTCGATGAAAGAATATATTGAACATGTTTGGCGGGAGATTTGATAAATAAGGATGCAAAAGAAGTGAAGTTAACTGCCAAGCTTGGAATTTGGTATTGACCGCCTTTTTGTTTTTCCCTCCATCCTCTAAAAGTTTTCTGGCGGCTACTTTAGTTATATATCACAGCAACCCTACACAATCTAAGGATATCATAGTCATCATATTTGAGCGATTCGGACGGCAGTGGTCTCTCAAAACTCCTCGGAGATTTCTCCAGTTTCCGCTGCTACAACCACAAGGTAAGTAATTGATTATGATTTGCTTCCACTCAGCAATACGACTTACAATTGTGACTCTGCTTTTTTAGTATAAATATCAACAATATGTAGCCATGAACCTGCATCTTTCAAGAGTCCATTGCTAGATGATCAAGTGTCAGTGGTTGGATGGTTTGTGTTTGGGTTTGGTTTTTGCCCTGTCGATAGCTGCTCACGTTATGTAATCTCACTTAACTTTAACTTGCATCTATCTTCACAACCTACTCGTACCAAAGCTGATCACTTTAACTTGCATCGAGGATCTTCTTCACTACACAAAGGAACAACGTCGAATGATTCTGAGGAAGAAGATGAAGATTATGAAATGGAAGATGATGGTGAATACGAGTCCACTGACCAAGAATGTAGTGAAGAGGAAGCCGAGGATGCATCTGAGGTAGAACCTACCACTGAATTTGACCATCAAGCAGAAAAATCAGGTATATGAACTAGGTTACCTCAGGAGCTTGCTTGTAGTCCTTGCACTCTCTGAATCCTCGAACACATCTGTATGGCAAAATAGTATCAGCCCATTTAATTGGTGGCATTTCAATTTCTACAATTAAGCATCAAAGTTTGATTGTGTAATGATTAACTAACCAGTCAGAGTATTCATCTACATCATCTGCAGGTTCTTCTTCACTTGAGAATCCGTCTTCATCATATGACATTTCAGCTTCTCTTGAGTGTTTATGTACATGCTCCATCATTTCAGCTTCACCTGAGTGTTCATTCTCCGTCACTTCAGCCTCAGTTGGAGTACGATCATCATGCATAGCAGTATCTTCAGGGTTGTCAACTAGTATTTCATCGACATCCTCCCGTGACCATTGAATGTCACTGTTATCAACTGGTACAACATTCTGCAAAGCATTAACTCTGAACTCCTGTGAAGAAGAAGCAGCCTCATCCAACGAACTTTCAGCTCCCATGTCAAATAAGTCCCGAGGGGTTGCCTCCATGAAATAGTGCCAATCTTGTTCCACGGGGTCTTGTACATAAAATGCTTGGCTTACCTGATTTGCCATGACAAACGGGTCATTTTTGTATAATAATTTCTTCATATTGACCCGAATAAGCCCGTAGTTATCCCTTTCCGAGTGAAACCACTTGCACTTGAGCAAGACAATTTTGAAGTGTCCATAATAATCCAACTGGAGAATCTCTTTAATAGCCCCATAATAAGCAACATTAGCGAGCACCGGGCTCTTATCTCTGGCGCTAGCAAAACTAGAGGTCATGGCTGTCAATGTTACTCCACTACTTTGTGTCTGACGACGCTTATCATGCTTAAGAGTATGAATCCTATAGCCATTAATAATGTATCCAGAGAAGCTTTGAACATTGGCATCATTCGGGCCAAAAGCTATTTGCTTGATAGTGTCACAAGCAGCCCCATCATCTTCGACCCGAGACTCTAACCATTGTACTATATCTTGTGATTGGGTTCTCTCTTTTATGCACCTGGTTCCACCCTTGCGCTTCTTGATTGGTGGTTGCTCGTACTCTCTGTAATTTATGTGAAAAAGATATCAAATTCATGGAACAATGCAGAAACTCAAGTCCAAAAAGAATCAAACAACTACTTACTTGAGATATGCTGATATTTCTGGACAGTTATCCTCACAGTTGAATATGACATATCGTCGAGCTTGATCCATAATACTATTTCCCAATTCAACAATATTACCCTTCCCATTTCTTTTTTATACAATTGGCCGACCATTAATTGGGAATATAACTTTTCCATTTTCCTCCACACCCATCTCTTCGTGATTTCTTGAAGGTCGAGTGAATCTTGTATCACCATCCTCACTCAAATACCTTGAGCAGAATGATAAACATTCATTAGCTAGATACACTTCAGCTATGCATGCCTCTGGTTGACTTCTATTTTTTACATAGTCTTTCAAAACACCCAAAAATCTCTCGATCGGGTACATCCATCGAGTTTGCACAGGCCCGCCAAGTCTAATCTCTTCCACCAAGTGAATAGGTAGATGAACCATTATATCAAAGAAGCTAGGTGGAAATATACGTTCTAATTGGCACAATGTCTCAACAATCTCAGTTTGCAAGTGATCTAATTCGCTCAAGATTATCACCTTTCGACAAACAGCCTTAAAGAATGAACCAAGTCTGATCAAAGCGATAGCCACATTCTTTGGCAAAGTTCTACGTACCGCAACTTGGAGCAAGTACTGCATAATAAAATGAGCATCGTGACTCTTGTACCTAGAGATTTTCTTCTCCTTCACATTCACACAGTGAGATATATTGGATGCACAACCATCTGGTACTTTAGCGCCTTTTAAGACCCCCACAAAAAATCTCTTTTTCATGGTTAACTAGTGTATAACAAGCTTTCACCAACTTACTATTTTTAGGATTTTCAGATTCTCTTGGATGAAGGCTCTTTCTAATTCCCATATCCTTTAAATCTAGACGAGCATTTAAATGATCCTTGGTCTTTCCTGGAATGTCTAACAACGTTCCCAAAACATTGTCACATACATTCTTCTCTATATGCATAACGTCAAGGTTATGACGTAGTGTATTATGCTCCCAATAAGGCAATTCAAAAAAAATAGACAACTTCGAGAACGCACCTCTTTTCTCAATTATCTTCTTTTCTTCCTTGCCAAAGTCGTTGATGAATCCAATCAAGTATTCCTTAATCTCCGAACCAGATAACGGTTTCGGCTTCAGGCTAAGCTCTATTTTGCCATCAAAAGAGTTTTTGTCTTTCCTCCACCTGTGTTTCGCATCAAGAAATCTGCATGCCCCCATGTAACATATTTTCCGACTCTTATATAAGTACTGAGAGCATGTGTCATAATTACAACTAGGACAAGCAAAGTATCCTTTTGTACTCCAACCAGATAGCATGGCCAATCCTGGGAAGTCACTGATACTCCACATTAAACAACCATGCATGTTGAACATTTGCTTACTATGAGCATCATATGTCATCACTCCTTCATGCCATAAGGTCTTCAACTCATCAACAAAAGGTTGTAAGTACACATAAATATCATTCCCTGGTGATTTTGGCCCCGGGATAAGTGAGGACAAAATCAAGTACTCAGGCTTCATGGACATCCATGGAGGTAAGTTGTAAATGGAAACTATCACCGGCCATGTGCTATGAGAACTAGTCATATTCCTGAATGGATTGAACCCATCTGCAGCAATGCCGAGCCTGATGTTTCTGCAATCAGCTGCAAACTCAGGATGTAACTTATCAAAGTCTTTCCAAGCTTGACCATCTGCAGGATGTCTAAGTTTGCCATCCTTCACTCGCTTCTCATCATGCCATCTCATAAATTCAGCGGTCTTGGAGGACATGAACAACCTCTGGAGTCGCGGTATCAAGGGAAAGTAACGAAAAATCTTGGCTGCAATTTGTTTCTTGGAACTAGTGCCATCTTCACTACTATCCCCCTGACTATCAGCTGTAAACTTGTATCAGGATTCACCGCATTTTTTGCAATTCTCCAATTTTTCATTGTCACCATAGTATAGCATACAATCATTTGGACAAGCATGAATCTTCTTGTAGGTCAAACCTAAACCTTTAATCATCGCCTTCATTTTACCATATGATGCAGGAATCTTTGCATCTGGAAAAGCCTCAACGAGCAAGGAAAGGAGCGAGTCCATTGATGCATTACTCCATCTGTTCTGGCACTTACGAAGATAAACTCGAATGGTGAAAGAGAGCTTTGAAAATTTCTTGCAGCCTGGGTACAATTCTTGATCAGCATCCTGTATGAGAGTAAAAAATTCCTTCACTTTGTCATTTGATTCTTCACCACTCTCCGTGGCATAGACATTATTCAATAGGCCATGCATATCATCATCACCAAGCCCTTAGGTGTCTCCTATATCCTCAATATCATTTTCTCCATGATCAGTCCACTGATTGTATTTCGGAGCAAATGCACGTACAACCAAATGCGTACGGACGACATCTCTTGTTTTCCACAACAGGTTTATACAGTCCACACAAGGACACACAATCTGATCTCCCTCAGCTGAATTAGCAAATGCAAAGTTCAAAAAGTTATCTACTCCGTTGCGATATGCAATACTTTCCCGTGGTTTCGAAACCCAACTCTTGTCTAGCATTTCAATTGCGAGATGCAAAATATTTCAGCTCCTGTCAAAGTATGTACAAAAATAGTTCATCCAAACTACTACCAATGATGCAAACCTTATATATAAGAAGCAAAATAACACTTAAAATCTCAACCGAATATATTGCGCACTTATCTAATCAATTTCTAAGTTCTGAGCCTATTGTTTATCTAGTAAGCAAAGAAAGTTGCGTACCTGCTCAAGATTGGTTGGTATCACCCAATGAATGGAAGAACAACTAAATCAGTATCTGGACACTCTTCACCTCTAAAGCAGAAAGGAAGCACAAGGGAAATTCTGTAAGTTTATAGAAGATAGGGAAAGGTATCCACCAGAGCATAATAACCTCAAAACAAACAAAATCATCCTTAGTTTCCTACCTATATGAACATACATATATATGGCGGTTTGTTAGTACTAATCCATCAAGCTTGCCTCCTCTTCCTCTCAATCACACCATAAAGTTTTTTTTTTTTTTTTAACCAAGCATGAACCTTAGCACACAAATAGAAAAGCAAACCCAAAACAGAATTACAACGCACTAAAAGCTATAGGCACCATGAGAGCTTTTAATCCACGAAATACAGTTATTTCACAAACCAATTTGAAGCTCCACTTAGTTGATGGGCCATTTAACTTATGATCACTCCATTATCCATAGATAATTTTGCCTTCTACTTCTGTTCTCGTCTCAATCATAGGCAGATACTTCCTTTCTCTCTTGAGAAATTTGTGGACTACTTTGATTCTGATTCTGAGCCGAGGGAAGCTGTTTTATTTTGTAAATATGTAGCAGATGGTAAAACTAGCAGCTAGCCGGTCAAGCTCTTTTCTTTTGAAGGGAAGGAGGCGAATGTAATGCTCTAATGATTGATTCAATAGTTCATAAATTAGGATATGATTTAATAAGAAGACCCGCAAACAGTCCATTGTAGCACTTGAGCGAGTTTTCACTTTCCAATCACAGCTCTTGCTGCTAGACTTGCAAGTTAAAGGTAGATTGAAACATCAGTTCCCCTATAAATGTGATTCGAATCTTCTCCTCCTCTATCTGACCCTTTTCAGGTATATTCACAAATTGATTGCATTGGCTCCGTACTTTAAATGTATAAACTCCCTAAGTAACAGCTTTTGCCTCGTACTACACACAGCAGGAATTCCACGCTAACCATGTTTCAAAGAATAAGAAAGAAACTAAAACAACCAAATTCACTTCTCTTTTCACCACAGTTTTCTTCTTCCACTGAAATTAAGGAAACATATTGGGTTTCAGAAGCAACTGGTGGCTAAACCATGTAAAAGCTTTCATAAGAGCTCTGTAAAGCCTGAAACTAGCTCCAGAAAATGGTATAAGAACATCACCACTAACACATAATGCTTTCCATGAATTCAAAGAAATTTGCAGCATCAAAAGGCCGAATTTGAACCACTGATAGGCAGATCAGGTTCAAACTAAGTCAACTACTCCTCGCCACATAGAAGGAAACTTCACTTATATGGTAAACTACTGGATAAGCCTTCTGGCTTATTAGTCATTGTACACTGAAATCCAGGACAGAGATCTCTAGTAGGATGTTAGTATCAAAGAGACATACAAGACAGAACAACATACCCACTGATAAGAACCACCTTTGAGAACCGTCCAAGACAGTGACTGAATTTGCATCAGATTTCAAGGTGCCCCGATCTTTCAGAAGATCCCTAACCTTAAAGCACAAGCCAGAATGAGTTAGTAAAAGAGATTGCAGCCCAACACAGTAAAAACAGTGACTTAGAGTATTGTAAAGTGGACGCCTCATTACCGCTTGCAAAATTCGGTCAGATGCATCACCCTCCAATGCCGACACAAATTAAGCTCCAAACTGAGATGAATGGTACAATTAGCAGAATTATCATTCAATGGGGAAGGACTACAAATTCTTCCTAGATATCAGAGGGATCAATCAAGGCCAAAATCTCTCCACTAAAAGCATGAATTGATTCCAAAGAGCTGAGAAGAAGGAGAAGATGGAAGTCGACTAACTAACCTTGATCGCCAAGCTGGAAGCTGAGTGTTGCTTGTCCTTTTTCCTTTTCAGCCACTATGCTCTTAGCTTCCGGGAAACTAGTGAGAGTTCAGGGAAGAAGAAGTCGCCGCAAGTAGCGGGAGCTGGTCGGAGAAAGAACGACCAGTCCTTTCTGATTCCCAAAAGGTAAAGGTTCTTGTACTTTTTTAATGCTTTTGTGATTTTGGGTTTCTTTTCGTATGTATTTTTTTATGCTTTTGTGATCTGTTCCTTTTTTGGGCAGGAGAAAAACACATTTATTTTCATGATTTATTATATTTTATTAATGTTTCCTTTATACCTTTGTTCTTATGCTCTATGAATGCAGAAATCGACTCGGAAAAGGTTTACTAGCACTAATTTTCCACTAAAATAAACAAAGGTCCTTTTACGTTCTTCAATTTTAGTGTGAAATTCATTTATCTAATTAATACTAAATATCAAATTTGTAAAATATGTAACATTTTTATTAAGTGTTGCCTAAAATATAAGAATATATAACACAAGTTATTTTATTGTACAAAATGTTGCATATTATTAACAATATGTAACAAAAATTATCGTGCGGCTAATTTGTGTTGCATAAGATATATATGAGGCAACACAAAATAAAAGTGTTGCCTATATCTATTTTATGTGACACTTTTAAAAAGTGTTACAGAACGAGTGTTGCATAAAGTCACTTTTCCTGTAGTGTCCCCTTCAGAGTTCACTTCTGAAGACTCTATTGCTTCACCATTAGAAGTTGTAGGCAGTGTGTCTGGAGAAGGAGGAAAGAAAGTAGAAGGAGAAGGGGTAGAAGAAGGAGGAGATGAAATCTGAGAAGGTAAGAATGAAGATGGAAATAGATTAGTAGGAAGAGGATTATTTGGGAAAAGGGGTGGAGGAGTGGTAGGAGGTGGTTGTGGTGGTAGAGAGGTAGCAATTGATGTAGAAGAAGAAGGGTGTAGAAAAGGAATGATTGTCTCATAGAAGACCACAAGTCTGGAAACATAAGTTTGATGAGTGTTGAGATCAAAATATTTGTAACCTTTGATCCCAAAAGGAAATCCAAGAAAGACACATTGCCTAGCTCTAGGACTGAACTTGAACCTGTCTCATAGCAATGTAGATGCATAACACAGACAACCAAAAACTTTAAGTAAGTCTAATGTTGGTGATTTATGATACAGCAGCTCAAAGGGTGAAACACCATCAATAACTGGGGAAGGCTGTCTATTAATCAGTAAAATTGCATGAAGGATGCAATCACTCCAGAAATGGAGTGGCAAGCGTGATTGAAAACGAAGTGCCCTTGCAACATTGAGGATAGGCTGATGCTTCCAATCAACTCGAGCATTTTGCTCAAGAGTTTCCACGCATGAAAGCTGATGTTCAATTCCATATGTGTTGTAGAAATCAGGGGTAATTATCATAAATGATCACAAAACTATTCACTTGGTACAAAACGGTCACATACCTTTAATTTGAACGTTTCAGTAACATATGTTTGCACTAATAACAAAAGGGTAATTCCGTCCTTCTCCTTCCAAAATTCTGTTGGTTTTGTTCAGTCAGCCGTATTGTCAGCATCCACATAATCAAAACAATAAATAAAAATAAAAATAAAAACCAATTAAACCCTAACCAAACCACCAATCCGCCAAACTCATTCCTCTCTATCTCCACTCCATCTCCTCTGCCATCTCCGCACAACCCCTCTGCAGAAAAACTTCCACGAGTCCTAATTCAAGTGGGTTGCCCTCCCTCTCTCTTTGCCCAACCTTCTACGTTAGCTTGATCCTAATTCATAGCGCCCCCCTTTATTTCTACTTTGTTTTCGTCTCTTCTATTTCAGTACTTTCCAGTCGCCCCCACTTCTTCAATTCTCCTTTCACCTTCCAATCTTGATCTTTTCACAACAAAACCCCAAAACGCCGCCCAGATGGCGAGATATCAAATCGCACCCACCATAGGAACATTGCACTGATCGCCGTCTCTTACAGGTATGGATCACCGACTGTCCGGCTCCCTCGCATCTTCAATAGATCACCACCACCACCCACTTGCTACTTCTGGTTTCTGGGTTCCATTAGTTTTTAATGAGACGACCCATCATCAATATGATTCCTTAATTGGGTGTTTACTTTTCCAGCCAACCTCCGTGAAAGCCACTTGAATTAGGATTTTAGGTTGCACCTGAATTAGGACTCGGGGAAATTTTTCTGCAGAGGGTTGTGGGGAGATGGCGGCGTAGAGGGAGAGGAGATAGAGAGGAATGGGCTAGGTTGGATTTGTAGGTTGGTTAGGGTTTAATTGGTTTGTATTTTATTTTTTATTTATTGTTTTGATGATGTGGATGCTGACGGGACGACTGACTGGACCAAACTATTTATTTATTGTTTTGGATGGATATGGACGAAATTACCTTTTTGTTATTAGTGCAAATCTATGTTATTGAAACGCACAAAATTAAAGGTTTGTGACCATTTTGTGCAAAGTGAATAGTTTTGTGATCATTTATGATAATTAGCCAATAAATCAGACATGCGAAATTCATTTCCTTGTTCACTTCTAACAATCTTAATAACTCCGTTGAACTGATTTTGAATCATAACACAAAAAGATTCCAGAAGATAAGAAGCTTCTGACTTCTGTCTCATTAAAAACACCCAAACACTTCGTGTATAATCATCCACAATTGACAGAAAATAAGAATAGCCATCATGTGACTGAACAACAAGGGGTCCCCAAATGTCAACATGAACTAAATCAAAGGCAGAAAGTGCTCTACTATCACTAAGAGGAAAGGGAAGTTTCTTCTGTTTAGCTAGGTGCCAAGTCTGATAATGTATAATGGAAATCCTATTACAGCCAGTTGCTTGATAGGCTCTCTCTACTTGGATGCCCCACTCTCCAATGCCAAAGATCTATCTGGTGAGGAAGGAAATTGTAGGTGGTTGCTACTTGGTGAGGTGAAATGGCAGGTGATAGTCTTGGTGTGGTGGTGAGATGGTAAAGGCTTTTATCCTGTCTTGCTAAACCAATCAGGTTCTTGGTTGTTAAGTCCTCAATATGACAAGAGTCAGATTCAAAAAGCAAGGAAATGGGCAGGTCATGGATGAGTTTACTAATGGAGACCAGGTTGAAAGTAAAACTTGGCACTAAGAGAACATTGTGCAAGGTCAAACCATTTGGTAGTTGAACTGAACCCATATGTCTCGCTGCTACCTTAGAGCCATTAGGAAGGTAAACAAGAGGTTTAGCTTGGAGGAAGACAGCAAGATAACATGTTATATGATTTGAAGCACCAGTATCTAAGATCTAGACTTGAGCTAGTGCCATTAAGCCATGTTGGACATATGAAGAGAGAATATATTTACCAGCATAGATAGGATGAGATGGTAGTTGCTGCGAGACTGAGTAAGATGCATGCTTGATAGAAGAAGATAAGGGTGGTGAAATGCTGATGGACTCATGCTATCAGGCTTATGTAAGAGAAGCCGCAACTTGTTCAGTTCTTTAGGAGTAAAATTGAGAGAGCCAGTTGAAGAAGATTTATTCATAACCAGCACTCTGCTCTGAAGAAGGGGAATCACCACTCTGGGAATCTGATTGAGATATTGATCCAGCAAAAGTGCCTCCTTCAGCCATATGATCTTTCTTATTATTCAACCAATAACATTCTTCTTTCAGATGTCCACCCATCTTACAATATCGACAAAATATTTCTTCCTTAGTAGTCTCATACTTGTTCTCTTTGTTAGAGTTGAAAGCCTTGTTCTGATCACCTTGTCCTTTTGCAGCTAATGCAACAGTTAATGCCCCTAGTACTTTTACCCTTATCACCTTGTAACTTCCGTTCATATTGTAAAATATCATCCAAAGCAACCTTAACAGCAGGTATGGGTTTTAACATGAGTAACTGGGTTTGAACCACATCAAATTCAGGTTTCAATCCATTGAGAAATTTGATAAGATAATTAGTTTCAACCTTCTGCCGATAGGCAACCACTGCTGCACATGGCCCAACTCTCACAACAACACAATCACACTCAACAACAGGAATATACTGCTGAATTTCTTCCCATAATCCTTGGATTGTAATGTAGTATTGAGTCACAATTATATTAACTTGCTTACAAGCAGCCATTTCATCTTGTAATAGAATTCGCAGACGGGAACATGACTTAGCAGACAGGGGTGAAGGAATAGAATTCGCTGTTCCGCTGTGGCGCTGTCCGTTGAACTCCGTGAGAGTTGAGACCGTCGTCGTCACTCCTCCGGTCGCCGTCCATTATAGAGGTAAAGCAATAGAATTCGGTTGTCTGTTGCCTACTTTGCATTTGTGTTGCCTACTTTGCAACAATAGAATTCTGTTGAAAATTGAAATACAGGCTCTGTTTTCCCTTACTTTCGTGAAACAATATAATTTTGTTGTCTGTTGCTTACTTTGTATTTGTAATTGTGTTAATGGTGAAGGAAACAGCCAAACAGGGGATATATGATATTTGGGGCGGTGATATTTGGCCGCAAGTGATATTTGGGGCGGTGACACCTGACAGGGAGTCAGAGCCTCAGAGGGACAGGCGGACAGGGAGTCAGAGGACAGAGGGACAGGCGCTAGTTTAAATTAATGATACAGAATCGGGAATTCGGGATGCACCTCTCTTACCGATACCGTGGTGAATCGGTAGTCGGCATACCGGTGGGAGATCGGCATCGGCGGTCGGCGAGCTTTTAGGGAGTTCCGGTAATACCGAAACCGATATTACGGTAAACGGTAAACCGGTTACCGTACCGTTTAGCAGCCCTAAGTGTGACTCTATTGCACATAAATTCTAATGCGAGATGGTGACTATGAATGCATTTATATTCGATCTTGTCCAATATTTTCTTAATTTTTTAGAGAAATCATAGGGTCGAAATAAAATAAAAAAGTTCCGATTAGGAAATAGAATAGAACGGAATGAATTTTTTTTTATTCAGTCCAAATATTACTGTAGGTCTGATGTGGACATAAGTGTTGCCCATTACCAACCGGAACCATTAATTTTTAATATGAATATAGATATGTTACAAAGTCAAAATAACCATATAAGTTAACATTAAAACAATGCACCGAAATATGATATCCATGCAAAATTCGGCTAACGACGGGCACAACACGCTAATTATTAACTCAAGTTGTTTGTTCCGTCCGTATGATGACTTGCGCACCGAATCCCAATTTCACATTGGTCAGGAGAGCAAAAAAAAAAAAAAAAAAAAACAAACAAACAAAATGCTGACCCATTAAATTAAAGCCCGCCTTAGAACCATCCGCCACCAGAGTTGGCAGACTCCTATAATACACTCCTACCTGCGAGACAAACAAAAAAGTGTGAAAGGGAAAGGAGAGGTGGCCTGGCCGGCCGGAGTACCATATGATATGTGACCATTATTATAAGGTAATGACTCCTCGTCAGCTGTTACTATAAAAGGCCAACGGCATGCAACCCTTATTCTCACTACACCACGAAGGCCAACCAAAACAACATATATAATTAGCCAACCATGGAGAAGTATAGCGACGCATCTTCTGCCCGCAAAGTAGCAGCTGTGTGGATAGCTCTCGTTGTGCTGTTAGGCTATGCCTGCACCGGCATTGAATCGCAATGCGGCAGTGAAGCGCCCGTCGACACCGTGCCTTGTCCTAACTACGAGAACTGTGTGGACAAAGTCATCACCGCGCTGCAGAATGCAACGCCCAACAAAAAGGACTTCAGTTACACCAGGATATACCCGCGTGGCACCTACGGCGGCGTTACGGGTTCCGCCAGTTGTTACCCAACTACCGACGTCCAACACTGCCAAGACTGTCTTGATGGTGCCAAGGACGTGCTGGACGGCTGCAAATCTTATGCCGCCGCAGGCTCTTTCGTCGGCGACGTCTGTACCATGTCTTATGCCCAGTTCCTCCCTCATGAATGACAGCTATAGGGAACTGTACGTGATCAATAACAAGCTAGGCGGCCTAGTGAAAATAGCACTCTCTTGGGATTTTTCCTTTCTGTCCCATTGAACTTTGAAGTTGTTATACTATCAAAAAAAAAAAAAACTTTGAAGTTGTTTTGAATAACTACTTTCTGGAGGTATGTTTAAAATCGATCTTGGGTCACGTGTGGCAGAGTTGGATTAAGATCTTGGATTCAGTCTCGTCCTCGCTCAATATGTGTTCATCATAAGTTCATAACCATTAATCATCATTCCCATCTGTACCTCTTAAAATCTCACATCTAAACATATATATGGTCGGTGCAACTAAATTATTTGAGGACTGAGACACATAAATCAATGTATTGTTCTCACATAATGTTAGAGTTGAACACCCTTTTCTAAGCAACAAAGGTTACCGGCCTAACAATCAAAGAAAAGAAAATCGCAGATGTATCAAACCCAGGGCCGTCCCAAAATAATTAGAGGCCCTGTTCAAAAATTGAAAATTTGGCCCCAATTTTTTTTCTCACAAATTATTTAAAAGAATTATGAAATAATACTAAAAAGATACCTATTAGTAACGCTGATACAAGTCGGATCCTAGATGTAGAAATAGAAAAAATTGTCTTCTCTACAGCAAGAACGATATTATCATGGATACAGAATTATCCAAATTTGCCCGATGTCGAGGCAATCAAGAAGGCCGCAAGGTAAGCAATTCAAACCGCAATTCAAACATATATCACTACTAGAACTAGAATAACATAAAAAGGGTTTGTGGCGGATGAAGATGGAAGGTGAATCGTCGCAGGAATAAAAGGAAGGCCAGAGAAAATTGTCCCCAAGATTTGCGGAACTAAAAAGAGACCAACAATTCCGGCAGCGGGATACGCAGTTTAATTAGGTTTCTAAAGTATTGAAGGGCAAAATAGACATTTTTTTATAAAAGTATCGACCACAAATAATAAATAGCAAATAGCGTTTCGGTATTTTTCTTGTCAGGAATTAAAAACAATACACACCCTCGCGCGGCTGGTTCATTTGAGGAGGAATGGCTTGGCTTTACAAGAGTTATCTGCTAGCAGTTCATCGATGAATGCCATGATGATCAATGGTTATATTCAAAAGAGTTATCCGCTAGTAGCATGCTGAAAGCCATGATCGTAGCATCTGAATCTTTTACAAAATAGCCCTTCCTGTCACTTGCAATGGATCGCTCACTCGCATTAGTCATTCGGGTAATTATAACCTTTGCATCATCACAAAACAGAACAATTAATAGTGAAGGAATATGTCAATTAGAAAATGGCCGAGACAACAACAATGAACTGCATCTCTATTCACGAGTGGAGAGAAGCCTTTGAGTGTGTGTGCCAATTAGACACTGAGGGTTATGGTAACACTTAGTCACCATCTCGCATTCATAGTCACCATCTCGCATTAGAATTTATGTGCAATAGACTCACACTTAGGGCTGCTAAACGGTACGGTAACCGGTTTACCGTTTACCGTAATATCGGTTTCGATATTACCGGAACTCCCTAAAAGCTCGCCGACCGCCGATGCCGATCTCCCACCGGTATGCCGACTACCGATTCACCACGGTATCGGTAAGAGAGGTGCATCCCGAATTCTCGATTCTGTATCATTAATTTAAACTAGCGCCTGTCCCTCTGTCCTCTGACTCCCTGTCCGCCTGTCCCTCTGAGGCTCTGACTCCCTGTCAGCTGTCACCGCCCCAAATATCACTTGCGGCCAAATATCACCGCCCCAAATATCATATATCCCCTGTTTGGCTGTTTCCTTCACCATTAACACAATTACAAATACAAAGTAAGAAACAGACAACAAAATTATATTGTTTCACGAAAGTAAGGGAAAACAGAGCCTGTATTTCAATTTTCAACAGAATTCTATTGTTGCAAAGTAGGCAACAAACAACCGAATTCTATTGCTTTACCTCTATAATGGACGGCGACCGGAGGAGTGACGACGACGGTCTCAACTCTCACGGAGTTCAACGGACAGTGCCACAGCGGAATAGCGAATTCTATTCCTTCACCCCTGTCTGCTAAGTCATGTTCCCGTCGCTAGCGACGGAGACGACGGGGTTTGACGGCTGGCTTCGACGGAAACAGCGACGACCCAAGACCCAACGACGATGAAGTGAACGGAGGAGGCGGGATCGGCGGTCGTGGACTCGTTCGTGACTCCGTGGTCGTGCAGCAGTCACCAGCCTGGCTTAGAAGTTAGATCGTTAGGGACTTAGGAGTTAGGGTTGGGCTTTTTTAGGGTGGGTGGCCGAGGCCGACGTTTGCGTTTTCTGCTCTGACGATCCGCGCTTGAGATTTGAGAAAATCCCTTTCCCATTCGGTGTCGGAATACCGATCACCCGACGGTAAATGACAAGGTCGGTCCCGGCATACCGCCAGCTTTGAAGGGTTTATAGGAAGAACACTTACAGTTCAACCCGATTGTTGATTGCAACTGTGCTCCACAGAGGACACAACCTTGTGCAGCAGTCGAAGCGTTCTAACAGAAACCGGAGGTTGACTATCTCATTCGCTTCTTGAAGGGATTGAGACCAGAATTTGATGTAGTTCATACACAAATCCTGATGATGAAGCCTCTTCCCACCGTGGAAGTTGCTATCAATGATGTCCTGCAACATGAACAGAAACTGAAGGCAGACAAAGGTATAACCCGAGGTGTGCAAACTGTTGCTTTGGCAATTCAAGGTGAATCAAAGGAAGGAAAGAAGTTATGTCGTTACTGCAAAAAGGATGGACACACTAAGGAAGAGTGCTATAGATTGAAGAACAAGAAGCTTAGGATGGCTGGGGGTGTAGCTGCAGCAGTCACTCAAGGAGAATCTTCTAGAGTGACACTGCTAGTTCAGATTCTAAAGTAAGCACTGACTCACGCAGTGTAACTTCAAAGGAAAGTTTTAGCTTCTCTACTGAAGAACTGAACAAGCTCAAGTACTTACTGCAAAGTGTTCCTTCTCCTGGACCCTCTCCACCTGCTTCACCCTCCATCAATCACTTGGCATTTTCTGTGGCCAACAGCACTTCTCCATTCCCTACTTATGCTGGTAAATTCATTCTCTCTTCCTATATTCAGCATAAGACTGATTCATTTTCACACTCCTGGATACTAGACACTAGGGCATCTGATCACATTGCCTGCAATCTTAGTTAGTTCACTGAATCTGTTCCAATAAAAGATCAGTTTGTTTATCTGCCAAATGGTACCCAAGTAGTTGTTAGCCATGTAGGTAAGGTTCAACTTTCTCCTGACCTGACCCTAGATAATGTTCTCCTAGTGCCTAGCTTCACTTTTAACCTTATCTCAGTGAGCAAATTAACAAATGACCAGCCCATATCCTTACATTTTGAGTCTGATTCTTGTCAAATTCAGGACCGGGTGACCCAGAAAAGGATTGGTTTGGCAAGACAGAGTAATGGACTATACCAAATTCACACCAAGGCTAAAGCACCTCTCCTTCCCACACCACAAGCAGCCACTTCTTACAACTTTCAACCACAAAACATCCATCGTTGGCACTGGAGATTAGGGCATCCTGGAAAAGACAAAGAGAAGCAACTGTTACCTAGTGATGAGAATGTAGTTTCCCACTGTCAAACTTGTCACTTTGATAAACATAAAAGACTTCCTTTCCCTGTTAGTAGTAGTAGAGCAGTGGATGTTTTTGATTTGGTACATGTAGACATTTGGGGACCGTTGGCAGTTAAATCTCATGAAGGATACTCTTACTTTCTTACTATTGTGGATGACTGTTCTAGAGCTGTCTGGGTGTTCTTAATGAAGTATAAGTCTGAAGCTAGCCATTTGTTGCAAAACTTATGTACCATGGTTGAAAGGCAGTTTTCCAAAACTGTCAAAGTTATCAGAAGTGATCAGGGTTCAGAATTTCACCTAGCAGAATTTTACACAGATAAAGGCATTATACATCAACTGTCCTGTGTTGAAACACCTGAGCAAAATGCTCGTGTTGAGAGGAAGCACCAGCATATCCTCAATGTGGCTAGATCACTTCGTTTTCAATCTGGTATCCCCCTTAGATTTTGGAGAGACTGTGTACTCCATGCTGTTTATTTAATTAACAGACTTACCAGTTCAGTCCTTGAAAACAAGTCACCATATGAAATTCTCTACCATAAACCTCCTACACTTGCCAACTTAAAGGTTTTTGGATCCCTTTGCTATACTTCTACTCTTCACAGGGATAGGACCAAGTTTGATCCAAGAGCCAGGCAGTGTATCTACCTTGGATTCCCCACTGGAATCAAAGGCTACAAACTGTTTGACCTTAACTCCCATTCCTTCTTTGTGTCAAGGGATGTGATATTCTATGAATCCATTCTTCCCTTTCTCACTTCTACTTCTACCTCTACTTCCTTACCTGAACCAGTTACACCACAAATTCCTTCCATTCCTCTTATTCATCAGCCTGCAAATCCTACTTCTCCTATTCCAACTTCTGCTGCTGACACAGCTTCTTATTCCAAGCCTACTTCCACTACTTTTCCTAGTCCTGATCTTACACTTTACCATTCTGATCCCATTTCCACTACTCTTCCTAATCCTTCTTCTACCAGTACTTCTAATGGTGGTACACCCATCAGTTTGCAGTCTGAGGGGGAGGATATGGAGATAGAAGTGTGTCCTGAGGACATTTTATCTGATGAAGCTGAATTCTTAAGAAAGTCCACCAAGAATCGCACTGTCCCAGTTTGGCACAAGGACTACCATGTGAGTATGACTGCCACTTCATCCAACAAACATCATATATGTCACATAGTTGGTTATGATCATCTCACTGATTCTCAAAAAGCCTTTGCTCTAAGTGTTCTATCTATTGAAGAACCAACTTCATATGCAGAGGCATGTAAAGATCCTCGTTGGTTACATGCCTGTAAGGAGGAAATCTTTGCATTATATGAGAACCAAACTTGGGAAGTGGTTAAACTTCCTGCTGGTAAAAGGCCAATAGGGGGCAAATGGATGTTTAAGGTGAAGTATAGGTCTGATGGAGCATTTGAAAGACTCAAAGCACGTTTGGTGGCTAAGGGGTATACCCAAATTTATGGGATTGACTTCTTGGACACCTATTCTCCAGTGGCTAAGATAAATTCAGTGAAGACTTTGTTGGCAGTGGCAGCTGCTAAGGATTGGCACATTCATAAAATGGATGTGTCCAATGCCTTTTTACATGGGGACTTGGATGAGGAAGTGTATCTTGAGATTCCTCCAGGAGTTGATGTTCCTAAAGAACCAGGTTTGGTGTTCAAACTTAAGAAATCCTTGTATTGTCTTAAACAGGCAAGCAGGCAATGGTTCTCTA